CGACGCGAGCAAGGGGATCGTGACGCGGATGAATTTCTGCTACACGGTGCAGTCTGGCGATTCGCAGATACACCGGGAGGCACGGGCGGGGGATACGGGGTGGGCGTATTTCCATATGCAGGATGCGGAGAGGGCGGTGGACGGGGGTGGGTTGTGTGTGCGGTATGGGGCGTTGAGTAATGTGGATGCGGAGACGGTGGAGGTGGGGAGGACGATTGTGCAGGTGCTGAGGGATGCTGGGCTGCAGGTTGTGTGGAATGGGCGTCCGGAGATGGTTATTCGGGTTACCCCGTTAAGCTGGCGGCCGAAGTTGCTGGTGGAAGAATAGGGGGATGTTGTGTGTGTGTGTATATGTATCTTGCATATCCAAAAAACGGGGCCGACTTTGCGAAATTTGGTCAGCGTGACATATATAACCTTGAGATATATGCTGTATACTATCCCCCACAGCTTTATATTCCCGCCCGCCCTTCTATTATATAGTTAGATGTTACACATGATATCATAGTGCAGGTGTAGAAAGTGCACACACTCTTCCTCCCAAATTGAGAGACTAATTACATTGAAAAGCCCATCCCCCGAGAGTGAGGAGAAAACAAATCAAATTTCCCATATCAATAAATAACTCAAACAGACATCTTTTCGAGTATCACCCCTCTATTGTATGGTGGTAACAAACTACAAAATGACGCCATTTCCTGCATTTTCCCGGAGAAGGATAATAATCCAGTCACCATAAACCCCCTTTTTACTCCCCCTTTCCATTCCCCTCTCCGGCATCTATTTACGCCATTTGCACATCCTTCACATGGTCACAGTGGACCTTCCAAGGTTACCCTCCCGTTGACGAACGCGGTCCGTTGAGGCTTGTTTTTCGAGTACATAGCTATCATACCGTCCGTGGATAGAGGGGAAGATATCCGGTATTGAACAATTGTTACTGTATCAATTTTTCAAAAATATAAACATAACGAGTGATATTGCTACACGCATGGTTCACTCCTCAACAACCAGGTTTGATAAATACTTTAATTAATCCTCATCAGATCAGATTAACAATAAAATAAAATAAATGAATAGCAAAATCAATCTATAACTAAACTTTTTAAAAAAAATTGACGACAAGGGAAAAAAAACAAAAATACAAAAATACAAAAATACAAAAATACAAAAATACAAAAAAAACCCACCAAAAATCCCTCATCAGACACCGACCCTCTAACTCCCTCCAGCCTCTGTGGTGTAGTTGGTTATCACGTGAGTCTCATATTCATGTCCTATTTACAAACATATGATAGGTAGCAAAAACTACTTAGCGATCTCAAGGTCGCCAGTTCGATCCTGGCCGGGGGCAAAGAGTGGGGTTTATCTTTTTTTTTGTCATTAAATTTTTTTTTTTTTTAAAAAAAACAATTGCGGCATGGCCGAGGTCAACTCGGGTTCCCCGTTTGTGTGGTGGTGGTGGTGTTAGCGGGTCCGTGGCGTGTGGACGGACGCTATGACGAAATGAAAAGGGGAAGAACTTAGAAGACCTAAAAGAACTCCAGCTCAAAAAGGAGTCAGATGCCCAGTGGGTGGGTGTGGTCACTGTGGTGGGCCCACAAACCCATGGCGCACGCTCCATGGAACCAACACTGGCAATCTCGGACGGAGGAGGAGTCCGCGGAGCATTATTATTTATTATTATTGGAATTAATTTGGGTTAGATTTTTACAGGTTTTTTTTTCTGATTTCTTTTGAATTTGAATTTGAATTTTGAATTTTCCTTCCTCGATTTCCTCCTGACAAAAAAAAAACAAAACTTTCTGCAGCTTGCCGTGTTGTGGCGGGTGGGTGGGGAGTTTGGAATCTGGGAATAATAATGAGCGGAGTGGATTTATAATCATAATAATTAATAATAACGAGTTGGGACCCCTTTTTCTTATTATTATTGTGGTTAAGGTTGGAGTGGGTAAGAGAGTTTTCATGCCGGGCGGGGCGGGCGGCGGGTGGTCTGTGGTCTGTGGTCTGTGGTCACTGGTGGGACGGGATGGGCTTTTTTGTGGGTGTGAATATCAAGTTATTAGTTACCTGAAACGTGAGTTGGAGATGGGGTTTTTTTATTCATATTTTTAACTTTTCGAGGGATGATCTGACTCGGGCAGGCAGGCAGGCAGGCAGCTAGGGGGGGATTTCCTGTTGGTTTGGCGAAGGGGAGGATGGAATCGGATAATGAATGGTAGGTACGGCATGGACATGGTAATAATTTAATGGATATGATGATTTCATGGTTATCGTTCTTGATAATGTAGAGGAAATAAGAAAATAAGAAAAAGAAAAAGAAAAAAAGACAGGACAAAGCAAGGGGGTATATACACTCAAGAGCACAGACGATGCGGTTCAATGTGAGGGGAAAAAATAACATAAGTGAAAGAAACATACAAAAGGAAATAGAAAGAATCGCAAACAGCAGACAACAAGTGGAAAGGAGTCATAGGTTAGGTAGTTAGGAGTTGATACAAATTTAGGAGGAGACAAGACTCCGTGATAGATTGCTTGACAACTCCTTTCTGCCAGCAGACGAGGGTCAGTGCGGTCGGTTTCTGAGAGCGAAAATGAAAATACAGGAAGAGTCGAAGGGTATGGCGATAGATATGTCAAAAGCAGGAAAGGATATAAAAAAAAACGACGCTATGGTATACAGATGCCACACGATCAAAAAAGAATAAAAAAAGAATAAAAAAATCCGTAACAAATAACGAGTGCCATGCTCCTGTTTATCTATCTCCATGCTTTTAATTTGCTCTTTTCGGCGTTGGTTCTATATTTTTTGGCTGTCGCTTGGTACTTTTCAGATAAACAAACATGGGGCAAGGCGTATCTGGGCGGGTATTCGCAAGTCGTTCGAGAAAAAAAAACCATCAGCCGAATATCGTGAAAAAGGGCGAGAGAGAAGCTGCATGTTGGAAAGTGTCGATTGGACTGGTATCCGTTTTTTGTCGCTGCTGTTCGCTGTTTTCGCTTGCGAGGGAGAAAGAGCTTAACGGCCCAAAGGGGGGTTGTTTAGATTGTCATGGTTAGGAGATAAACTAGGCCGGGAAGAAATGCATAGGCAGAAACCAAGGAGAGTCGTGATCCATGATGAGATATGTCGGTCGGTCGGTCGAATAAATAGGTAGTATAAATTCTTACCGGCCCTTATTCTCCTTCCTCGACGAGCCCTGAGACGCCAACCTCTCCGTCTCCCGCTGGATAAGTTTCTCAACAAGCTCTCGCGGCGAAACAGGGCCGTTATGATTCCTCGCACTGGAATCCGACGGCGGCGAACTCGAAGCCCCAGCGACGAAGTATCCACCCTCATCCTCCTCGAGCGCCAGGGGCGTCACGG